CCAACCACCGGAACCCTATTTCCCATCGGAAACTCCATGTCCGCCACCGCACCTGCACCCGCATCAGCATCGGACCACCGCCGCCGCCGCCGCCTCGTTGCATGGCGAAAAACCCGCCATCACCTCGCGCCGCCGCCCATGGAAACCCAGCCTGCTGCACCGGAAACCCCATAACGGTGGATCCCATTATTCCCATCCCCACCTGCTGCCGCATCTCCTCGCCGCCGTCCACGGCGGCGCCACCGCCGCCACCGAGAGCAGCATTCCTCCTCCGCAACTGGATCCTCCGGCGCCTCCGCTCTCGGCTCTCCTCCGTGGCCGTCCTTCTTCCCGCATCAGCAGCAACGTACTTGGTACAGTAAACACGAGTAGCAGTATTATTTCCACCACCAGCCACCTCCGCCATTTTTCTTTTTTTTTTTCTTTGCTTTATTATATTTTGTACAGAAATAATAACTTCAACCCTACACCCTCATTTATATATATAGACACAATATAATCTCCCCAAACCCTAACCCACCCTTTTCCACATACAAACAAAAATCACAACACACCACCCATGTGAATATACGTATAGCCTATACATACAACTTGTAACGGATGCCCTAAATAACTTTTCTCTTTTCTTTTTTTCTAGAGAGAGAAAGTATTATATATCTCAGGTGTCGAAATTATAGATTAGTGTGAGTGCTACGTGTTGGGTCAGCTTCTTCCATTTGTGTATTCTCATACAAGCATCTTTGCCACCTCTGTAAGCTGGTATCTGCCCTGCCCGTCTTCCCTGCCCTAGCTGCCCGTAACCGACACGTGTCCTCGTACTTGCTTCTTGCTTTTTTATTTTGTATTTACTTTATACATATATAGCTTCGCCGGAAAATGAGAAACGGAAATTAACCTGTTCTACTACTGTACGTCCGGGGATTTGAGATGATGACACGTGGACTGACCCATGCTGCCACGTAGGCGGGGTTTCTGGTGGGTCCCGTATCCACCAAAAATGAGGTGACGTGGCGCTTCGCATGTTGAACACGCAACGCTCGGGTGACGCATAACGCAATAAATGACACGTTGGAAAATGAAGAGAAGTACTAAATTTACGGGGGGTTTGTTTGTCACAGTGAGGAAAATGGTCGTTACGTTTTCAGAGATGGCACATGGGGCACTGTGTCATTTTTAGGATATTTTATTTCTTTATTTTTATTTAGGATATTTATTTAATTTTTTTGGTTAGGTATGATATTATATATTAAAATAAATACTTTATCGTGAAAATATAACATAATATATATATATTTGAATGTGTTTTATCAAGTGTAGCATTTGCTACAATTTGATTTGGTCTATGTATAAAATGTGACAATTTCAAGAGTAATATTATCCTAAAAAATTGAATTTTATCATTTATAAATTTCAAAAAAAAAAATAATAATAATTCAGAAAGAATAAGAGCAAATAAACGAGTATCGAATATTACATGAAATCACAGCTGGAATTGTTTTATTATATCATACACAAACATTGTGTTCTTTTTGCATGTTTACGAGATGCTACACCTACTGTAATATATCGAGTCGTTTTGAACAATAAATTTATATAAATAACAACCTATTAAATGCAAATACACATGGACGTGTGTGTTATTATTTCATCGGGTGTAGCATTTACAAGAAATACGAATCGTGCTGCCAAAGGAATTTCGACATCATCTCTGTAAGATTTAAACCAACAGAAGGAAAATGTATGCAAATATGTTATAAACAATATTGATCTCAATTACATGCAAACAATCTCCTGGTTAGCTTGGCAGATCCGAAAATCTTCACAGCACAAATACACGCAAAAATGCCTGAACGAAATGCAGAGTTAAATTGAAGGTAAGATGTTTCCTACTGTGACAACAGCATATCGATCAAGGAGCAGTGTGTTGAACGGTAAGAAATAATATACCTGCATTAGTAATTCGCGGGAGACCTTATATATATATATATATATACATATATATCTGTCGATATCTTTCCGACAGGTCAAATGATTTGGCAGGTGAAATCAGATATAATTCTTCTGGCTTTGGGTATTTCTTTTCCTCGTCGTCATTTATTCGTTTTGAATTGGAAACCACGACACGAGTACATATCTTCAGCTACAAAAAAAAAAAAAAGAGGAAAAAAAAAAGAGCATAATTATGAAAACCTTACATTATACAGTTATACAACAGAAGTACTTTTCAAGAAAGAGATAACCTAGAGACGAAGGATAAACGCAAGTTCAGAATCCTTCAGTAAGCACACATTAGGGAAAAATATTTAGCTATTTAAACAGCTACTATATCCGTGAATCAGTTCATTCGGTTGCGTATTTCGAGGAAAATAATCGTGTCGGTGAACTGACACGTGTCAGAAAAAACTCAAAGTCAAAAGCAATTACGCCTTCGAAAGCGCTATCGGTTAAAACTTCTCTTTTAAGGCGTACTAAATTAGGATGCACGTGGTGCAGTAAAGGTTAGGCGTTCACTTACGTACAAAAGCTTTATGCGTATATTATGGAAGGAAAAAGAAAAAAACATAAATAAACCGAAAAAAAATGGACTTAGCTGTTCCCGATAGCAACGAACACACAACGTCAGTTGATAAACCTTAATTCCAAAACTATCATACTTTACGTCACTCCTTACTCGCCTTTGACCCCACTACTTCTCTTACGTACCATGCAAGCGCCGCAATTCGTGAAAATACAGATATTGCCCCCAAAAAACAACCCAACCCAACTCTAACCATACATCCACATTTTTGTTCCATTCACTCCAATGCCTTAATGCACTCAAACTCATGTGCGTCTAGGCCATGCGCTCGCATATTTTAAGGAAAAATAATCATGTCGGTGAACTAACACGTGTCAAAAATCTATAAGCCAAGAGGAAGTAATAAACCTCAGGTGATGGTGGTTAAATCAACACGGCTCAGAAAGCGCTACCGATTAAAACTTCACTTTTAGGTGCATTAAATTAGGTGGCACGTGGTGCAATCAATGTTAGGAGTTCATTTATACATAAAACGACGTGCATATTTTACGGAAGGTTAAACCGGAAACATAAAGAAACAAAACCATTGGACTTGGTTGTTCCCGACAACGACAAACACATAAAGTCAGTTACTAAAAGCCTTAATAACAAAGTTGCCGTTCCTTACGTCACGTCTTACATTTAGTGCGCCTAGCCAAGACAACAGAGGAATCTAGCGCAACTTCTCTTTTAGGCATATTAAATTAAGAGGGACTTAGTACAATGCAGGTTAAGAGTTCATTGCGTATATTACGGAAAGATCTACAAAAAAAAAATCATACTAAAATCGATACGGCTAAGAAAAGCTATCGGTTAAAACTTCACTTTTTGGGTGCGTCATGCATATATTACGAAAGGAAAAGCCATAAATATAATATGGAACAAAAACAATGGACTTATCTGTTCCCCACAGCAATGAACACACAAAGTCAGTTGATAAGCCTTAATTCCAAAAACCACCACGCGCCTTTGACCCCACTACTTCTCAATCTATACCATCCAAGCCCCGTAACTCCTGTAAATACCAAAACTGCCCGAAAAGATAACCCCACTCTGCTTGCATATTTTGAGGAAAATAATCATGTCGGAGAAATGACACGTGTCAAAAAACTAAAAGTTGAAACGACCTAATAAACCTAAAGCAATGTTGGGTAAAACGAACACGGCTCAGAAAGTACTATTGGTAAAACTTATCTTTAGGTGCATTAACTCAGGAGGCACGTGATGTCGTAAAGGTTAGGAGTTGATTAATATATAAAGTGTAATGCATACTTATGGAAGGAGAAAAACATAAAGAAACAAAAAAAAAAAAATGAAATTAGCTGTTCGGCAACAACACAAAGTCAGTTGATAAACCCTTAATTCCAAAATTACCATCCATTAAATCACTTGTTACGTACCTGGTAGTTCCAAAATCTTTGTACGGTCCAATGATGACCACGCACTTAGACCCCGCTACTCGATAATGTACACCATCTCAGCGCTGTTGCTCCTGCAAATACCAAAATCGCACTATTTTTGGTAACTTATCAATTCTTTAAATAGGAATTATTTTAGCACAAGGCACGACAAAGAACTACATGTGAAAAAAAAAAAACTGTATTATGATTATACCCAATTCAGCAAGATATTCATGGCATTGGCAATGAAGACTCGATTTCTTCAACTGTGAGAAAATCCTGGTTGAGCTGTTGGAGTTGTCCCTTTACACCTTTTGCCACCTACAGTCGATATCGATTAGAGCTCAAACCTAAACTGCAGGAAATCTTTAATCGAGGAATTCAACTGCAGAACAATAGATTCTACCATAGAATTCTTCAAGTTAAATATACTAGAACCGAATAGATTATACAAATTCAAAGGTTAGCAGGCCAGCCAAACTTGTCGATACATGTAAGCTCAGAGAATAATAGGTATTGATTGATATATTCTATCGATGATTACGTAAAACCTTTCAGAATCAGAAGCAACAGTTACCAACAAAAGAAGTAAACCAAGCCTACAATTATCATACAATTCGACATCTCGGTATCGATTTGGTGAGGAACTCAACGTATCTTGCAAGAAGTTAACAAAAAGGAAACCCCTTCTTCTATTCAAAACCGGAAACAAAATAGAGAAAAATTATCACACAGCTTTATTTTAATGGCTTCTATGAAACCTAGCTAATATAAAAACACCTCAACAGCAAAACCATATGAGAGAATTCACAGTAATTATATAGCTAAAAAGCCAACATGTATGAATTATACTCCTTAAATCTCTAAAATGAAGATACTAACAACAAATTCGCTGACAATTTATATAATAGTGGAAAGCCTGCTATTTACTTCAAATTCATCATGAGAATAGAAGATTCAATTCAGTATAATTCTGGAACAGAAACAATGTGCCTATAAGCAAAACAGAATCGCAAAAATTCTTCACCGCAAGATTTCGATATAGCAAATTACTCTAAACAAATTTGTATACACACACGCGCGCGCGCACACGCGCACACACCTGAGTGAATCGGCGGTGCAGATGAATAATAATTGCTTCGGAAACGACGTCGTTAATGCTGTTCACAGAGAAAACTATTCTCTCCTTGAACACAAACTAAGTCTGTGTGTGTTTGTGAGAGAGAGGAGAGAGAAAAATAAGGTAGAAGAAAGGTCGAAAGTGAAACGAATCATTTCTACAAGGACAATAAAATAAATTGAGAAAAAATACTATTTTTCATCCCTTAAGTATGCACTGATTTCAAATTTGGTCATCAATGTTCATAAAAAACATATATAGTCCCTCAAATTTCAACAATTCAACATTTTTTGTGATTTCCGTCAATTTTTTGTTAGTATTAATGGAATCAGGCTTGTGGCTATTACTACCTTAATTGACGAATTAACTGTAAATTGACGAAAATGACAAAAAATGTTAAATTATTGTAGCATGAAGGATCATGGCGACTAAATGTTAAGTAGGTGTAAACTTGAGGGTGTACATTGTAATTTTTCCAAAATAAATTAATAATAATTCTTTAAATTTGTGAGATTTATGTATTTAAAGCCTCATGAAATATATATAGTGCATTTATAATTAATTT